TGCTTTTTAATAAAGTACAGAAAAGGGATTTAAAAAAGGTTTTTTTACGAGTACGCCTGTAACTTTTTTTCCGTTTAATTAGCATAATCACAAGCAGTAGAAACTATAAATTAAAAAAGATCTAATGAAATGTTTTTTTAAATCAAAAAGTGAAATGCCTCATAAATTCATTGATTTTAAATGGTTTTACCTTGAATCCCAAAAAAAATTTAGCTGCGACGCTTTTTTTTTCTACGCCGTGATTTTTTTTTCTATAATCAATACGGCTCTCGTCGGCCCTGTGCGTGAGTCCTTAATTGCCTTACATATTGTAAGTTACAATAAATACAGTGTTGCCAGGTCTTCAGTTTTTGTGGTAGATCTACGAATTTACTGCTTTTGAAAAACATCTCCCACTTTTTTTAGTTCTCTTAAATTGGATAAATTCTTCTTTGTATCATATAATTTGAATCTTGGTTGCCTAAAATGTCTACAATTGTTGTAGAAGCCGGCTTACGTCTTACGTCAAACCAATTAGTGCTTGTTCTGCATATTAAGCACTGGTTTCATTTAAGACGTAAGCCGGTTTCTGCGACAATAATTGTAGACCGAGCTTAAGGCATGATGTTAGTAACATTTGACAGTTTTGTACGTTTTGTTTGGAAGTACCATTTTTATAATTTTGAGATAAAATCCTCATTCCGAAATAAAGTTTAATTACTCAATGTATGATGGTTTCATAATTTTTTGCCGAATGCCGCATTCAAAATGCGCATGCGCAGAAGCAGACATGATTTTTAAATAAATGCGCGGAATAGTTTAATTTAACTGTTTTAAATAAATTAAATATTTTGAGTAAATGAGTCACGCCGGAGTGGTCTCGATCCCGAAAAAGCTGGCCAAAAGTCGTTAAAGGTTTAGATTTGATTGGAACTTCCTATACTTTGTCTTTGAGAACGCTAAATACGATTTAGAGGATGTATAAAAAATTCGTAATATATAAAAAATTCGTTATAGAAAAAAAATGGCCGACTTCAATTTTAATTTTAAGGGTTTTAAGGTATCTTCTTATGAAATTAATAATTAAATCCATAAATTCAAAATGCTATACCGAAATTGGCCAAAATATTAAAAAAATTATTGTATTCAATTTAAGATTTAAAAAAATTTAAAATTGACAAAAAAATATATTAAAATTACCGGATCTGAAATGAGCAACTATATACTTAAAAAAATATATTAGATACGATTTAAATGATTGATGGTTTAGAGCTTCTAATTGCAAAATGTAAGTAATAATTAATGAATTATATCAGATCTAAAATTGCTGCCTAGTGGCCCAGATAACAATCGTGAGGTGCATCAAAACGCAAATCGCCTTCACGTGCGAAATCATGCGCGACGGTAAAAACGCTGCGTTATGATTCTCATTTTATAATTATAATTATTAAATGGGAATACACGCACGTGATTGTTATATGAGGGCACAAAAGGAATGCATACTTTTTTCATTATTTTTCACTTTTGCTAAAAAGTTATCGCAAAAATGATGTAATACTAAATTTACGCAATAAACGTATAATTAAAACTCAGAAATTTTTCAAAGACATAAATAAACTGTTGACATGTCTAACTTAATTATTCAAAATATTTAAAATATATATTTGACATGTCATTACATCTAATGGCTCTATGAACTTCAATTGATGACGCAAATGATGCGTGCATGCGTGTCATATGTGCGAGCCAAAAATCACTTCGGACTGCAATGTGCGTCAATTATGAACGTAACAATGTTATCTTGGACAAGGCTAGAAAGTTTTTAGTTTTAAAAATACGAATACTCGTTTAAATATTAATTGGAATAGTCGAATTAATCAAATACTTGTATTATTCGAATACTCAAGTATTCGCATTTTCGAATACTGGGATATTCGAATATTAAAATACTTCAAATAATCAAATTTATAACTAAATATTATTAAAATAATACATTTTGCTCTACATTATTTAAGAATATAAACTCCTTATTCTTATTTCACTGACGCTAACGGGAAATGTTGCTAGGTCTATTTATTTAATAAAAATTTATCTGTTTTTGCTAACAGCATATAAAGGGTATCCGTTTTTCGAGGCTTAGCCAGGGAAGGGGGCTGTACCGTATTTCAGCAGTTTTTAAAGTTAACGAAAAGATTTTGGCAGATCTATTTAAATTTCTCTTAAAAATTGCTTTAATAACACAGTGCAACAATTTGGGGGCTAGGAAAAATGGACGCAATTCTGCATAGGACATTCCAAAGTATACATCAAGATAAGAAAAACCCCCGCTCTGTTTTGCGATATTAGCTCGCATTTTTATTTTATGACTTTAAAATTTTAGAAAATTTGTGAATTGATCTGCTCAGTTCTTTTGCTAATAACTCGGGAACGATTGAAGATAGCGACATACTTTATTCAGAAAATTTTTAGCTAAGAGTGCCAGCAACAAATTTTATATATACATTATGCCTTAAAAATCACATATAAATTGAGTTTTTGAGCAAAATATCGTAAAAAGTCAATGTTTATTACTTCACATTTATTCTACTTTTTTAATAAATGTATGAGTCAACATTATAGTTAATGTAAAAATAAACAATTTTTATGAACACAAACCAATAAAATTTTCCACAAATCTCTCCGTTTCCTCTTCATCTTCGTTTTTTTTACTGTCACTGTCTTCAAACCACCACCAATAAATCTCAGCGATAATGCGTTTGATGCTTTCTTTCTTCTGTATCTAAACAAAATAATCCACCTTATTTCGAATGGAATTCCAGTTTGATGATAGCGTTCTCCCTGCTCATCTGATTCGGTTGGCAATTGACGGCTGAAGTACTGCAAGTGATGATCCAAATAGTGTATTTTGAGTGGCATATGTACACCAATGGTTAAAAATGCATAGAGTACGCCGCAATGATTTTAAACTCAAAAGTTGACGTGAGATTTTTAATGACCCCCTCCCTTAAAATAAGATTTGGTGAGATTTTGCTAGACCCGTCCCCCCATTTTCGTCTCACGTAATTAATGGATGTCCCCTAATTACAGATTTTTTGACAGCACAGATTCCAAGATAGTAATTTTTTAAGTTAAATTTGTCTTCATACGCCACAGTGTATTTTGTATCTTACGAGCTTGCTCATGGGATTTACATAAAAAATAAACTATAATAATCAACATGATCATCCTATTTCGTTTTTCGAGTTTGGAAACGAATTTTTAAAAAAATGCATGGGAAATCTGTGGGAAATAACACTTCTGCACAAGTGTTATTTTTCACAGATTCTTTCAAAAACTCGTTTCTTAACTCGGACAACAAAAGATGTTAATGGTTTAGAAATGGATTATTACGGTATATTTTTTATGGAAATCATAAAAAACAATTTTTAAGCACTTTTTAAAATTGTCTTTTCAAATTTCGTGCTTAAGAAACACAAAAATATGACAGTTTTAAACCCTAATTTTGCCATTATAACAACAAATTAACATATTCATAGTGTACATACCTGCAGAAGTATCCTCCATCAAGATAAATCGTAAACACTTTAATTAAAAACTGGATTCACTTAAATGCGCCTAATATTGATGTGCGTATTTTCGTGACGCGGTGAACTCGAACATTGGTGACTTTGGTACCATGACGCTCACGTAAAAGATTAGAAAAGACATACAGCGTATCGACTCTTCATTAGGTGTACTACGGTGTACTATTACCCTTTGTATAAAATTAAACATCACTAAATTAAAAATTCAGACAATCAGACATAATTTTTATCGGCTTTTGACTAGATGTGCGCCGTGCAGCCACAATGCGGGCCCATATAAAATTCTATATGTTACCCTGCATTCGTGAGTGTACAATGAGCCTATTTTGACTAAATGAGTATGCCTCACGCCTAGAGGCAAAATGCGGGCTCATAAAATTTCAAATGCTGTTTGCACTAGAAGAGTATAAAACTATAATTATAAACCACAAGTATTTGGTACCATTAAAAAGCTCTTACTGCATTAGTGACGGTTACACTCGCAATGAGGCCGGCCACGAAAAAAATGAACTGGTCATTTGCCAACTGTTTTATTATATATTGTTATATTAAATATTATATTTAAGCCTTACATAGTGACCTTAATTTACTTGGTGAAAGGTGCCAAAAAAACTGATTGTTTTTAAATCAGGACAAATGTTCGGTTATTGTCTTTTTATAATTATCGAAATTCCTACTATCTGAATGAACACAAATTAAAATCTCTTGGACAGCAAACTACAATTTCACAGCCATTTTGATAAAATTGTTATGGAAGCAAACAGGATGTTGGGTTTCATACTACATACTACTGTTGATTTTAGGGAATGTAGGTCATTGTTGATTCTTTATGCATGCTTGGTACGTTCTAAACTGCAATATGCAGTTTATAATGTTTACATAAATAGGTTGGAAAGCATTCAAAATAGATGTATCCGTCATATGCGTTATAAGCTGTCTCTTCAACTAAACACTGATCAAACAAGACAGTGCTGGGGCTTAAAACTCTTATACGAGTACAGTACGAGTACAGAGAAGAGAGAATATTAATGCAACATTTTTTTATAAAGTAATAAACAGCCTTATTCTAGACCCTGAAATATTGTCTTGTTTTTTATCCATGCTGCTTGTAGAGACTTAAGAAATCATCCTTTATTACAAGTCCCATTGTTTCGAACTGTGTACGCAAGCAATTCGCCTATATTTCGTGTGGCAAGGATTTTTAATGATGTGTCTAATTGTGTCCTTGTGTAGTTTTAAACACCAATTGAATCAGATATGATATGTTATTTATGTTGATGTATTTATTTTATTTATGGTTTTGTTTTTATTTATTGAACTTTTTATAAACCTGTAGACTAATTTATTTATTTTTACTACTAAATTGTGTCAATCAAGAATTTAATTTAATTAATAATGGATCTATTGCCGTTTTTATGATTTTCTGTATTTTTTTAGGTTTGTTATACATAAAGTGGTAAGAAGAGACTTAATACCCAGTCTTCCCCTACCAAGGAGAATTATCGATTATCTAAACACTCCTCATTATTATTCAGAACATTTTATTGATATTGAGGAATCTTTAACATATGAAGATGCTCCCCATTTAACCAGAAGTCCTACTCCAATAATTAGAGAAGATGATAATCATGAACAAGACGTCCAACCAGTTGATAATCCTAATGTACCTGTTAATAATTATGTTATCATAAATAATAATAATAATACAATTTCCACTACACCTAGACAATCCTGAGATGTTTGTTTTCTAATGTTTGAATGTGTAAATGTTAATGAATTAATGATTTATGCAGTTTTATTATTTGTTTGTATCATCAAACTGAAGAACATTGTCAAGGCAGAAACTTGTGTATTATTATGTTTTTGTACATGTAATCCACATATTAATAGAAGTTATGGTAAAAAAAACAAAGAAATATACAACAGGATTATTAAAAGGATAATTGAAGAAACAAATTAAAGGTAATATTATTTATAATTTTGTTTATTTTATGTTTTATGTAAATCCTTTAAAATGCAGCAAAAGCTAGCGTCTGTTTTGTAATTCTTTGATTTTAAAAATATCGTCATTATCCTTCAGACTCTGGGTGATAGGGTAATAAATTACTATTATACAATTTAAACCATATAAAACAAATAATTTATTATAAAAAAATCAAAATATATATGAGTAAAGAGGGATATTTCTATATTTCAAAAATTTTAATTATTTTTGTTTTAGTCTTATGTTCTGTGGTTTTAGTTGCTGAACTGTTATTTATTTTATATGTATTTTCTTTATTAATATTTAGTTTTATCCCTATTCACTTTGACATTCAAATTTTGGTTGGTAGACCTGCTATTGACAAAAACTAAAACGCAAAAATATTGTAAAATAGTAATTGACTACCGAATGCAACAGCACAATATTTGTTGTTAGCCATTAATTTAATTAGTGGTGCTGTTTATTTATAAATTTATTTTATCTTTCAGACCAAAGTTATCATGTGATTTTAGTATTTGTATGCTTTTTAAGTCAGCTGTAGATTTAAATTACATTTAAGGATATTTATACAAGGATCAGCGCACACGTGTACTATAGTAAATAGAATAAGAAAACTGTATGAAATACTTTTATTTTATAGGTTGTGAATCATAAATTATTTTCGATAACGTGTGTTACGTTCATTTAGAATGGCGTTATTATTTAAATATGTTGCCTGTGAAAATTATTTAATAAAAATATGTGTATTATGTTTACTTTTAAACTAAACACCATATTCCTTCGACCAAAATATTTATTTTCCTAACAAGTTATATTTTTCCACACGTTGCTGCAAGTGCGGAAAAATATAACTTTTATACAAGCAAGGGAATCTTGCAATTTTCCATTTTTAACTTTAACATTTTTTCTACAAGCGTGCGGAAAAAGGCCTGATTTAAACAAGAGGCAGTTAGGAATAAAACCCATTTATACGCAGGCGTGAATTATAATTAAACGATTTATAAACGAATTATATTTAATATCGCGAATTACGTTTGCTTCATATAGCGGAATGTCAGTGACTGATGAAAGTCTTCGAGGTTTCTTGCCAGGACTCCTGAAAATTGCTTCTTTATCTCTGATTGCTTTGGAACTTGTTGGTTGAGTATCAGCGGTTGTTTCTTCTTTAACTATTCTTTTAATTGTTCGCACTGATACGTATCACAACTAACTATTGATTTTACAGCACTCAGATTCTCTATAGAGGGTATACCCTAGTTTTATTATTTTTAAAATAATTAAAAACATGAAACATAATTTCTCGAGCTTGACTTATGTGTTTTTTGTTTCTGCCATTACTTCACTTATTATAAATATTGTTTCTTTAGGAGATTATTTTTGGTAAAATTTAATTTTGGTTATATACGTACATATTTAGGTATATTTATATAATTAAGGTACCTTTTAAAATTATACCCATATACTGGGTACTACTTTGTTACCTTCACTTTTTTAATTTATTATATTTTTTAAACTGCAGTATTCAATATTTACTTTTAAAAAATTGTTAAAAACATTTTGCCCATTGGTTTAATTTTTTCTATAGAAAGTATCATCGTATCACAAAATTATTGATAATTATATAATTATTTAAACCATTGTTTTGGTGACCAGGGGTCACCAAATGGTGGACCGAGGTCCGGATCCGGACTGCCAGCCAATATTATGTGGACCTTGAAGTCTGATGAACATCTTTAGGACCAATTTAACTCCTAAAAGCAAAACATGTATTTTTTCATATTAAATATATTTAATACATATATTATTTTTAGAGCAAGGGCAAATTGTGGTAACTGGATGCTACATGTAGAATACAGTTGTTGTGTCATGTCTTGAAAATTGAGTTTTGTTTCAAAATATTCAGTTTTAGTGATTTTTTACACTTTTCAAAGCTTTCAAACATACGAATTTTTGAATTAAAAAAAATAATCCTGGTATAGATTCTTTGGGAAATTTTATGCTCTACAAGAATCTGCGACGTAAAAAATTTTATCTCAAACGGTTCAAAAGTTATAGCATTGAGTAAAGTGTGTGAAGAGACGCAAGGTGGTAGGAAGATCTGTGCCAGGCGTATTATTATTAATTTACAAGAAAATGTGTCCGTAAGGTGTCGCCATCTACCCACCAATGTTCCAAGCTTGAAAATATGATAAAATAAGGGGTATTTGTTTGAAATTCCGATCTCCCACGCTAGCTTCTTACCCCTCCTTTCACTAAACTCGTCGCTTAGCAACGAGACGACAACAATTTTTTATTTGCAGTCATAATATTATTTGTCCTAGGATTATTTGTGTCTGAATTTAGTGGTTTATTATTTCATCATTGAGTAAAGTAAGTAACCAAAAGAATTTATTTATTTATTTACAATTCCTAGTGCTGTTCTGAGAGGTAATTTCTATTCTATTTCATTATATAATTATTATTACTAATAATAATTATTAATTAACTATAGTTAGATATATCTACCCACTTTATCTAATTATTATTTATAATAATTAATAATAATAATTATTAATTAATTATCTACCCAATTATTATTTAATTATCATTTAAAAGTAAAATTCTATTTAAAAAAAATATGCCTCTGAAACGTGTGAAATTTATTTATTTTTAATTAAAAATGTACATATGTATGTATACATAGAATGTATACATAGAGGCATATTTTTTTAAAATAGAATTTTACTTTTAAATGATAATTAAATAATAATTGGGTAGATAATTAATTAATAATAATTATTATTAATTATTATAAATATTAATTAGATAAAGTGGGTAGATAGTTAATTAATAATTATAATTATTATTAGTAATAATAATAATTTTTATCAAAAAAATTACTTTTTAAACCATGCAAGCTGGATTTTTAAATTTCTCTTTCAATAAAGTTTTTATACGAAAACACCCTGGACATACATAATATTATATTTATACATTTATACCACAATTAAAATATCAAATAGGGTACCACTTACATACATATTATTATAAGTAATTTTTTTGATAAAAATTAAAAAACAAGAAAGCATTGATAAAATTGATGTATTTAATTGGTATTTGATATTTTTAATATTGATATTTTTTGATATTTTAATTGCCATTAAAAATAAATCTATGTATGTACAGTGTGTTTTCGTATAAATGGGACACTCCTCTAAAATCTTTATTTGAAAATATTATTATATTGTATTACATATATTAAATTAAAAATTAATATAATTATTAAAAAAATAAAAAATTCAGCTGCATGGTCAAAAAAGTGATTTTATGAAAATTTTTTGACAAAAATTAAAAAACAAAAAAGCATTGGTAAAATTGATGTATTTAATTGGTATTTGATATTTTAATTGACATTAAAAATATATTTATGTACAGGGTGTTTATGTATAAATGGGACACTTCTTTAAAATCTTTATTTGAAAATAAATTAAAAAATTAAAAAATCTAGCTTGCATGGTTTGAAAAAATAATTTTATGAAAAATTTTTGACAAAAATTAAAAAACAAAAAAACATCGGTAAAATTGATGAAATACATATCGCTCATTCGAAACAACAGTGACACAACTCAAAAATCAGTTTTTGAGAAAACGCATTTTAAATTTGTTATTAGGAACTATTTTTTAGAGAGTATGCCTAAACAACCAAAATATTTGAGCCCAGCTTTTATTTTTTTAGCCCGGCTTGGTTAATGGAAAACAGTAATAACAAATTTAAAATGCGTTTTCTCAAAAACTGATTTTTGAGTTGTGTCACTGTTGTTTCGAATGAGCGATATGTAGATATAACATTGATTTTTCCAATGAAACACCCTGTATATTTTTGAACATTTAGATAGAGTTTTTTATTATAATTTCAAATACACATATATATAATTTGTAGGTATATGTTTGAATTAAAAAAAATCTGCAAAAATAACACTTACAATTTCATAAATTACCTATCTTAAAAAAAACCCTCAGGGACACGTGTTTTTTCTGATCAATTAACTTCAAAATTTTACAAAATTTCTTTTAAATTTAGAATTAATCTAGTGGTAGCCCAATTGAATTGTTTTTCAAAAATATACAGGGTGTTTCATTAAAAAAAAACAATGCCGATGCTATTTTATTAAATTTACCGATGCTTTTTTGTTTTTGAATTTTTGTCAAAAAAATTACTTTTTTAAACAATGCATCTGGATTTTAAATTTTTTCGATATTCTAATAAAGATTTCATAGGAGTGTCCCATTTATAAGAAAACACCCTTTACATTAAAAAAAAAAGTTTTTTTTAACAAATATTTACATACATATTTTCGTAAAAAAAAACAACAAAAATAAGTTAAATTATCAATATACATTTTTGTTTTAAAATACTTTTAAGAAATAATATGCCTACATTATTTATCACAGCATTTATATACATATACTGTGGTTCTTATTTGGCCGATATCGAAATTTTAATCGTGCCGCCCCCTCATTTGTTTTTAAAAAATATTAAACTTAAATTAATGAACATTTCTAATTTTTTGAGGAAATGAAGTAAAAATATGGTACTTTTAAACAATTATGCATTAAATGAAAATTATCACTGATATTTTGTTTATTATGCCATTTTCAATAAAAATACAATAATAGTAATAATTGAATGAAGTAAAAAAGACTTTACTATGGACATAAATGAATTCTTTTTTTTTTTGTTTAAAAGTACCATATTTTCCTTTCATTTCCTCAAAAAATTAGAATTGTTAATTAATTATTAATGATTTTATAAAATTATTGCGTTTTAAAGCAAAAATCCCCTATATGAATTACTGTAAGTAATAATCGAGCAAAGTAAAAAAGACCTTAGGAAGAAAATACATGATTTCTTTTATTTATTATTTTAAAGAAAAAGTTGGAAAATGACCTCTTAGAACCGTGCATTATTTATTTATATACAAAATTTCCATGTATATTTTGATTAATTTATTGTTTTTAGATGGAATCTTTGAAAAAATTAATAGTAAGTGTTGTAATATTTAATATACTTAATTATTTTTATTTATTATATTTAATAACGCTTTACTTATTTTAGGAACAATTAAACAAGGACATTAAGGAAGTAAGTACTTAATAATATAAAATATATTGAAAGAAATATATTAACACACTATAGGTACTTTAATTAAGTTAACGTGTGGAAAAAATATTTGGTATAGGTACCT